CAGGCGGCCGGGAGGAGACACCTCCGAGCGGTCCTAGCTCTGGGGAGGGGTGAGCGCCATACCGCCTGCAGAGAGCTGGGGCTGCAGGAGCTGCTAATGCAGATGTTTTTGTTCAGTAATTAATTCTCATCCCGAAAGCAAGCCAGGAAGCCAGCTGCATTAAAGTATCATTAAGGTTTTCACCTACAAGAGATTACTGAGACAACCTGGCCATATCCTAGCTTTATGAAATCCCTAGATTTCAAGAGTCTGACTGCTCCTTCCCATCCCTCTCCATCCCTCCTGGCATTGCCCCTAAACAGACCAAACCAAAAGTTACTGCTCACCAGATACGGTAGAATAATGAGGGTGGGGAGTTATTCATGGATTATTTATTCTACAATCAATGAGGCAAAGAAAAATGAAAACAATTATTTCTCAGGTGTTCTACAGAGAAGGCTGAGAAATGGAGAGGTATAATTTCTTTAGAGGAGCCCCAGAGCAGGGATAAATTATTTTCAGTGACTAATACACATCCTGTTAACAAGGATCTGCTGTTATTTAGTGAGTGTGATGAAGTGCTTAAGACTGTATGTAAGACGAGATTTTCAGAAAGGCCTTGGGATACTAGGGTCCTCAATCCTATTGCTTTTCAGAGGGAGTACAGTGCCTACCTTTCAGGTCACTTTGGAAATCCATCCATACGTAACATGGTATCTCAGGAGAGCTGTGGCCTAGAGGTTTGGGCACAGCACAGGACAAAGCTTAAGTGCCAGTCCTGGGAAAAAATATTTCTGTAATCTTGTCCAACTGACATCATTTTTCCTCCTTTAACCTTTCCCTGCCTTGCCCTATCTGTATTGAGTATGAATACATTCATATTTTAAATGCTTTCATAGAAGTAATGCCAATATGTCTGTAGTAAATGTGGAATGAAGAAATGCACTGGGAATGCTGTGTTATTATACTTATCTCTGTTTTTCAAAAAAAAAAATATTCCCACTGAGACTTTTCTACCTCTTCTCTGCATCATCCTGAGCTCTCTGCCATGCCCTCCCCATTTCTTATACCCACAGACACTTTTTGATGTTCAGTAATCATTAGTTTATGCAAGCTTGGGAGGAATTAACTAAGAAGCAAATATTAATTACTGCTATTAAACTAGTTCAAAATTTCCTCTTCCCATAACTTCTTTCTTTTTAGCAACTTTTCTTCTTCTGCTCTACATCCCACAATTTTTCAAATTTGTAAACTTACCTTTTCTGTTCTTTAGCTACAGCAGAAGCAGTAGTGCTGATATACTATTAGAAACTGACTGCATATATTCACGGAAAGAAGAAAAGCTTCTGACTATGACATGCAAAAAATCCTACTGCTTTCATTCTGAGATCTTACAATGCTTTCAGTATTCATAGGCCTTTATTATTCACCTGAGTAAGTAATAAACAGCTTCTCTGAGTAAGTATTTAAAAGCTCAGCAGACCATTTTGCAAACCAAATTTCTGCTTTTTAAGATCCTTCCAACAAGCACAACAAAAGCAATATAATTGCACATCACCCGTTTATACTTTTATACATATATACTTGCACATCATCCATTTCATGAAGTCCACTGGACAAAAATCTGACTCGAGTTGCTCAAACTTCACACTTCTTTCTTTAGCATATGCTAGTTGGGGTTTTCAAAGCATACTCAAATTGCTCACAAGTAGGCACACATTTAAAAAACAGTTATAAAGGATAAGACAAGTAATTCAAAACAGGAAGATTCAGCAGGCTGATTGATGAATATCTCAATAATGGTGATAGTAGAAAGTTTCCTTGTGGTTTGAGACGGAAGAAATGGCACAAATTATTGCATTCTCCCCACCACAGAATAGGATCAGTCCTTAAAAACTACATAAAATATTTAAACTACGTAGCAACAGCAATGAGTTGTGCAAGGGTATTGCAATTATTTTTAATATAACCACAACTGGGGCCTGCAAAATCATTAACTTTGACTGTTTCTGTCACATGAAAATCATTACAAAGGTCTTCAGGCATTTTTTAGTCCTATAAAATAAGCTAACCATCATATATATACTCTTTTTTTTTTTTTTTTCCCTGGAGGATGTTTTGAAATATTACTTTATGTGATGCAACAAATACGAGTTGAATATATTAACCTTTGAAATGAAAACATGGTCAAATTGTGTTGGGGCACAATATGAAATTAGATACTTCTCTCTTCTACTCTTCCTCCTAACCTTTCTTTTCCAGAGTGTAAATGTAAGGACATTTCTAAGCAAGCAGTGAGACACCCCAGCAGTCTGAGCAGGGCAACTGCAACCTTTAGAACCCCTAGCCTGCAACTTGCAAAGGCCTGCAGCTTGGGTCAACAGGGACTTGTACTCCACGCACTATAGGTTAGGAAAGTGTCCTAGCAGGCTGGGAAAGACACACCAACCGAGATGTGCAGAAAGAGGATCTTCCAGCAAAGCTATTCCCATAAAAAGATTAATCCTTCCTTATTTTTCAAATTAACACTCACAGAGCCTTAAAAGCTGGAGAGGTATCTCACTCTACTGGTGAAACCTTCCTGGAAATTAGTAAGACACTAAAGTGTTAAAAGACTCTAGTTACTACAGCTGTACAAAAATTTTATTGAGCTTAATGGAAATTATACACACATATTGATGAATGAATAGATCATTCTGAATTTACTGGGGCTGTCAAGCATTGTCTGCTAAATGGAATCATCCTGGACAGAGCTATATTTACAGTATGTGAATTTCAAGAAGAAAAACACAATGTCAGAAAGCTAGAAAGGATAATTAAGAACTTCAAACACTGGTGGGACCAGGTGGCATCCAATAAAGTGATCAGCTGGGGCCACAGAAGCCAGGCTGAAAAAGAACCTGAAACTTCTGAATTAATACTGAAAAGTAAAAGCCATGCTTCTTTATTGCTAACAAACTACCATTTTAACATAGTTTTTCCTTTTATGCTTTTGGTTGCCAAGGACCCCTTGCATGGCAGAGCTTGAAAAATTATCCATAGCAGAATTTCCATCCAAGTCCCTAGGATGATAGATGTGAGGACTTTGCAGAGGAAAGATAGAGGCAATGTATTTCAAATTACTACCAAACAAGACTTTATGATTATATGCATAGAACCAAATGCCATATAATGGACAGCTCTATTACTGAGGGAAGTTTTGGGTTTATTAAGAACAACATGGGTTTTTCTACTGGGATGGTCTATAAACATGGGTCTTTCTCTGAGGGAGATAGAAGGCACATGAAAATTATAACCATCTGCCTGTGAGAAGCTGTAAAGATCTGAAGAAAATATTTATCTTCTAGAAATCTAAGGAAAGAAAGTCTTTCTAACATTCCTAATGTAGCTAAAAAGGAAGACAAGGGTGCATTGGCAGAAATGAGCCATTATCTTCTTCCTCCATGCAGCTAAAATTAAAGCATTATAGTTTGAAGTGAATGTATTTTGGCTTGACCATCATTTTGTTGTAGTAGTTGTACCAAAACAAACAAGCAAATTAAAAACTGGAAATGTGCATATAGGTAATCATAGCAAAATACGGTTCTAGTTCTTTCTTTACATGTTTCATAACAAAGGTGATTTCAGAAAAGGAATGTTAAATTCCCCAAATGCTCAGTATGTCATTATTAAAAAATATGACCCCAGACTCTCATTCATACAGATATCAAAATAAATTGAAGATGCTCAGAAGTTTTCAGCTTAATGCCCCTACATCTATTGTAGTCTAAACATGTGCTCCAGACAGCCTCTACCTTTAGAAATTTCTTTTGGGATATCTTGGTCTCTATCAATCTACACCGCATAATGAAAAATTTTGACAATCAAAACAAATAAAAAATCATGCCATATGTCTCAGACATATACTAGGCTTGAATCTGCATTTTATAGACATGCA